GACTTTAAAGGAATCACCAACAGATTACACATTTACAGGCCAAAATCTGTGTTATATGTTTGCACCATATGCTTCACCTCCAGGATCTCTGTATGGGGCTATTCTTACCACAGAATTTGCCTTAAACTGGTAAATCACAGAGATTTATTAGCTCTGAACACTTCATACTTTTGGCTTGATTTTTCTCTAAACAAGTAATTGATGGATATTCTGTCCTGCTGTCTTCCTGCCAGCTTCTTTATTTTACAGTCTCCACAAAAATTAAGAGAGAATGCAAACTGGAAAGGTAACATACACAAAATCTCCAAGCTATGTCTCACTCCAGCCTTCACACTTGCTTGGGTCCATGAAATAAAGGGAAACACAGCAAGCACTTCCCAGTGAAAGGCTCGGTGCTGCCGTTTCGTGGGAAAAGGAAGAAGAGCTCTGGTAATAAAAGCAGAAATGCAAAAAGGGGGGAAAAAAAGATTTTGAAAACTTGCTAACATTAACACTCCCTTTTTTGTTTCAAGATGGCTGTGTGCTTTATTGCTCGCAGATCAGTTTCCTTTGCAGGTGATGCGGGCCCAGAATTACATCACTAGCAGAGCAGCCAAGAGCATCTTGGTGCCAGGATGACCAAAGCTGAGAGGAATGTATTATCACAGACCTCTGAGGGACTTGCCAGTGCATTCCTTGCTGGGGGTGCTGTGATGGGGGAGGCAGAGAGGAGACAATTTTACGCAAAGACTGAAAGGAAACTTTGTGGAGGAAAGATCTGGGGTCACAGTCCTGCTGTCTCCTCTAAGCAGATCTAATTATGGCCATGTACTTCAAAAAGAGGGTTTAACTAAAACCAGATTTAGCAGGGCACTGCTTAGGAAGTACAGACTGAATCACCAGCCTTGCCTTTGAGGAAAATGCGAAATGCTTCAGTGCACTGGGAACACTGTCACTGTGGTTGTAAAGAATAATTTGAAGCAAGAGCCGATTTTAAATCCTCATCACTTCAGTGAATAAAGTCTTACAATAAAATGTGACTAAACATTATATCAATGCTTTCAGACAATACTTACATTAGAGACTAGGTGTATATTTACTGACATGTTTTGTGGTGGGGTAAAAGAGTCTCAGCAGTCCCAGGGATTGTGCTGGAATTGATCAAATTACTCACAAAGCAGTTGCACAGATCTCCCTTCGCAAGCTCTGACAAAGCCTTTCTGCCACATCGCACCCTCTGTTCGGCAAACCACGTCCCATGCATATGAAAGAAACTCTCTCCTCCCCCCATTTTTGAAGGCTTTCAGACTATTTCTACCCTCTGTCGTGCAGGTCTGGCTCAGTGGTTCTCACCACAAGGCTGTTCCTGAACCATTAAAATCAATGGGATTTTTCCAGTGCTTTTAATAGCAGCAAAATGTGCTGTCAACGAACGGGATTAAAAGAAGAATACAAGACAAATTGTTCAGAGATTAGCACCTCTAAAAATGTCAGGATTTTAAGTCTCATCTCCTAGGTCGATTGAGAGGTTGAAGCAGTGCAGAGATTACACAGAGCTCTCCCCTTTGCCACCAGAAGAAAAAGTCCAGCTAATCAAATAAAAAAGTTTATGTTTGATTCTAAAGATCAGTTGCCAGTGCAACTCCAGTCAGAGCCCTCATTCTCCATCTGCCAGACCAGAGACTCCTTACCCCACCGTCTGCCACCAACAGTCTCTGAAGGGGCCCAGGGGCCTCCAGCTCTTCTCCTTATTCCTCAGCCTCATCAGGAGGCTCCAGAAAGATGGCTGCTTTTGCACTTCCAGGGTGGGAGATGCCCAAGGAAAACTTGATGTTACAGGAACAGCAGCTGAGATGGGCAAGTGTGGAATATGGGAATGTTGGTCAAAAGGTAAGAACAGAAAATGTCCCTAACTTTCAAAACATTCCCATTTTAGATATTATTATAGCATACCATATGGAATTTTGCACAGCCACCATGTCTGTAGAAGCACCTTCCACTAAAAGTACTAGATTTCTTTCATCTCCGTCTGGCGAAGAGTTGTCACTACTCTCTTCCTGTGACATGCAAACCTTTTCCATGACCTCTCTACAGCTTAGTTGCACTTGGTGTTGCAGAGCCAACACCAACAGTCAGGCCCTCCAGTTTTCTCCATGTACCCCTCCTAGGTGCCTACATTTTGAATATCCTGTGTACAATTTTATCTTTTTTTTCATGCATAGTTATTCTTGACAAATCTTGTTTTCCTGTTCATTCCTTCCTGTGCAAGGCTGGCCTAATAATTGCTCCATCATAGGGCCTGTTTACTTCCATATCATGTTGCTGTGGATGGGTTAGAGATAATGTATGAAGGTGTGTGTAAAAAAAAATTCCAAAGTAAATACATTAGAAGAGTGCTAGAAATACATTAGAACTGAGGCATATTTCTGCTTTTAAAGAATCTCCTTTTTTATCTTGTTCAGACTTTCACAGAGCAGCAAAAGCAAATGTGGCCTTTAAAAGTTGGTGTGGACAACAATGGTTAGGAAAGATGGGTAAAATACTGTGAGGAAAGAAATTACATGACTTACTTCGATTCAGGACACACGTTATTGTTGCTCTCATTGTACCAGACTGCTATGAGATGGCTGTCCCACAGGACTGTTCTTCCTCTGGCTCACCCTGTCTCATTAACATTATAACTGCGAGCGCAGCAGAGGTGCTGACGGGCAAAGTTCACCTTGGTGTCCCTTTTCTTTTTCATGGAGACTACATGTCTGTTCAGCTTTTAATAAAATAACTGCCAGGCCTCAAAGCACCACAGTAAAACACATTATATATAGTGGTACTTATAAAACAAGAATGCTTATGCAGGACCCTGAAAAATGCCTTTGGGCAGGTCAGTTCTCTGTCCAAATATGCAGATTAAGTGAATATGGAAGGTTTTTTTGTATGTCCTAATCTATCGCAATTTCATCTTTCCAGTACAAACTCCTTCTTTTTAACAAAAATCTATTGCTGATTACCGCTGCGGAGCTTTCCTGAGAAGTCATCCTATCACTTTCTCTTTTGCCATGAATATACAGCCCTCAAACGATACTACTTCAAACGAACCTACAAAGATGTGGCTGCAGCCTCAGTTTCATGTGCACTTAGCAAATGAAGATGAGGTGTTGAGATCATTTAAGACTATACAGTAATGAATGGTTTCCAGCCCGTCCTGATTTTGCTAATCTGTTTTGCCAGTGATCTAGGATGAGGACCTTGAAGAGGGACAGACGTGCATGCCTGGTTTTCTATGTTTAGCTACATGCCATGTTCTCCCTGCTTGGTCACTACTAAACTTGAAATGAATTTTCTCATTAGTGCCTTAGACAAACAAAGTGGATTAAATAGCAAACATCAGGTTTCTCGTGTCACTCAATATAAATCAAAAGGGCTTCAGCACTGCAGTTCTTCCCCTGCAACCAACCAGTACAGAGGCACTGGCGACTAAAGCCAGGGGATTTAGTTGCTCTGACAGATCTGCTTTCAATAGAAGTTCAAATTCAAATGCTTCTTTTTTTATAGCTGTTTTTCCAGAACTTTTAGAATGAAGAAAACCTGAAGTTTAAAAGACACAAAAGAGCAGGAAGAGTATGAGAAAACACCCACAGAGATAGGACTTCGTATTTCAGTGGTAGTAATGTGAGACAGAAAGTTTTTCAATCAGTTCATTGAAAGAAGTCTGTACAAAACAGGTCATAATCTTAGGCTACTTAGTGGCCTTCATGAATTGATCTGGAATAATAAGAAGGCAACAACTGTCAAATTAAAGTGAATATAAAACATAAGGACAAATGTAAATGGTATTTTAATACCACTTTTACTTTTGTAACATTTTAGTTGCCTGCATGTCCACACATACATGGATATTCTACATAGAGAAAAAATGGCATCTATGAGAATCAGATGTGAAATTGCTCCTTGGAAATACAACAATTTTTTTTTAATTTTCTGCTAAAAGATTCAAATTGCTAAGATCCAGAAACATTTTTGTCCTTTAAAGTTTTCCAATCAACCCAGTAAAATAGAAGACAGAAAACCAGCCGTTATTAAACAAGGAAATATGGTCACTCTAGCTCATGTGCCACCTACTCAAAGCTGGCACTGAACTGCGCTCAGGAAATACACTGAACAATTTAGCTCCTGGCTTTTTGCAAATGTCTGCCACCAGACTGTGGTTTCCTCAAAAGCATTTCTTCTTTGAACTTGCCTTACGTATTTTTCTCAGAGCTTTTTTTAAAAAGTCGTGGATTGATTTCAAGCAGTTTGGTATGAGCATGAAAATTCCACTTTGAAAAACTGAGGCTGTTCGCAAGTGCTCATTCTTCACCTGCGGTAGGTGCTTTTTGTTTTCTTAGAGCCTCAGAGAACAAATTACTCCCACAAGGAGAACAAACACTTGAAGAAAAAAGCCTGGAGCATATAAGCCTGTGAGATAAACACTGCAGATAGTCCATTGCAGGCGGGGCAAGTTTTATAAAACATGAAAATAATTTCTTCCAGGGGAACACAGAACTTGCCTGAGGCATATGTGTCCAAAAATATGAAAAATAATGCAAATGGATTGTGACTTTGCAAGCCTAAATGTGAAGGGCGTGGCAAAATCCCTACCACTTGTGTGCCAGTATCCTAATGTGTGTTGTGGTTTTCCTTACTCTGTCCTCCTGCTGTGACAAACAGTGCCCCATCCTTCATGAAATGCGGCACTTAGCTAAGCAAGCCAGCCTCAAACGTAGCCAACATAAATATCATCTGATCAAAAGCTGCCCGGAGGTGAACCCAAAATGGGCATGAGTAATTCAAAACAAATTTGTTTCTTAATTCACACTATACGAACATTCGATGGTATTCCTCCAGCTCTAGACTTGCACAGTAATGTGCTTACTAGTAACATGAGTGAAACGACATTTACAAATGGTTTACACACGAGTTTACTGTCATTTAAACACAGAAAATATCAGACCATGTCACTGCTGAACTGACAAGCTCTGGGATACCAGGGATACTCTTTGCACCATCTTGGATACTCACCTCTCCCGCTCTTGTTCCAAGAGGTTGGTAAAGTCATCGCTCTTGTTCATGTAATCTGTATGTTTATGTTTCTCATTTTCTAGCTCATAAACTGTGCGGCGATGGCACTTTTCTGCCAACAGGAGCTGTTCCAGCATGCGCCGATATGTCTCTCTCTGCTTTTCTTCAAGTCTGTCCAGCTGGATGTAGGAAAGAATAGACTGTTTTAAAGGTCTCCTTGCTTACTTCATCTGATTTATTAACCAACAATGTTGTGTTTGGTCAATGTGAGTCCCACAGTTTTATGTCTTGGGCTTTACATAAAGCAGTGACTAGAAATAAGAGTAACTGTCCTGTAGAAGTAATGATTTCCTTGGACAGCATGTGTGCAATGAACATTTGCACAGTTCTCAGATACACAAAGGACAGAACTTCACTTAGTTTTAGGGTAAACAAATAATATGGTTCCAGTGCAGAATTTCCTCTCTGGCAAAGTGCTGTGCACACTTTCCTCATTTCACACAGGAAAATCTCTAGCAAATGCCAGGGCAGGATACATGTCCTCAGCCCCTTGGAGCCTGAGTTCATGTACCTAGATGGGGACTAGGCACCTACATGCGGAGTGTAAGGTGTAAGCTCTAGACTGAAATATGAGTTATGCATCTTCAATGCACCTGTAGGACTGCTGAGATACAAAATCTTGAACTATTTAGATTCAGTGTAGACTCAGTTTTACATTACCAAATACAATTCATTATAAGCCTTAGAGTTTTCCCCAGAGCCTGTTTTTGACAGATATTTCTCCAGGGAAGCGTGTCTGAGAAGTTGCCAGGGCACTCAAAGCCACCATGGCTATTCATGTTGCTTCTTTCACTGTTTATTGGGAGCAGATGACAAACTCCATCCTCCCTGATGAAGCAGCCCACAGCCCTGGCACTTCTCTGCTTGCCTGCCTCCTGCTCTGCCACCCCCAGCCCTTACCCTGTGAGAATTGCATCTTCCTTAGCCCCAGCTGCAGTGGGCAGTTGCTGTTTCACCAGGTGTCTCTGCAAACTGAGGGAGATAAGAGCAGGAGGGCCACAGTGACTTGCCCTCCAGAAGTTGACTCTGACAGTCAAAGTCAATCATTGCATTTTATAAAGGAGCCAGGCTGGGTTCAGCCTTGAACTACTTCAAGAGCAGATCTTTTGCACTTATGAAATTTTATCACCATCCTATTTTAGCTCCAACATAACCCCAGTGGACTGCACATGACAAAGTTTTCCACTGAGGTTCCCATCGAATTATCAGCTTCTTTAGACAGAACCCTGCTAAGCTCTTTTAATCTTGTTCAACAGTATTTCATGCATGCTCCAACATGCTAATGTTAGCTTTCCTTATTTACTACCATCCCCAAAATTGCAAAAGCCACTTCAATGAGAATACACAGTATAAAGATAGCCTGTGGTAGACACAATTCCTGGTGAAAAAATTAAATGTTCTAATAGGAGGAATTATGAAGATTTAGGGAGGCACTACAGTATATTATACTGTATGTTATTGCGTGTTCTTTCTCCATGCCCTGGACTGTTACTAATCTATAAACATGAGCAGTGGCTGCTTATTTTGTCACTCACGCTGGCCTCAGACATTCCTAGGTCTATCCTACATTCATTTAATACTTAGATTTTAAAGCAAAGGATCAAGGCCTACAGTTCTCCTTTAGGGGCTGAACTGACTTTGCAATCCTAGAGTTTAAGTGATGTAAAAGGATCACAGATTTACTATTCCATAAATATGGTCAATCTCTGCTAACTACCACATGATAGTGGTCTGGTATGCCAAGACAATCAACAAGTGCTTACCAGTGCTGTAAGCAGTAGAGGTTAGAGCCTATAATTGAAAGGAATTTAAAAACCAGAAATGTAATACCTGAAGATTTTGTTCTTGCTTAACAGCACCAGCCCTAAGGAGCATACGAGCTCTTTATTTTCTGTGATCAAACCCAGTGACTTTGCTTCCAATTTATTCTGCAGTTGAGTGAACAAGAATATTAAATTTTTCTTTGATTTCTCATCATTTGTATGAATGCTGTGTTATCCTCTTGCATGCTTTGCACAAATCCAAAATATGTGAAGTCTCGCTTCCAGTTAGGATTCCCTTTGCATAAGCATAATGACAGAAATCAAGTTATTACCTCTGAAATTGGTTTCTCATAGACATCTTCCCCTATGGACTTTTCCTGGGCAAGGATGGCGTCCCTGTGTAGCACTCGGAGAACATTCTCTGGAGCTGCAGATCCATAATGAGCTTCTAAAACTTCAGGTTTGGTTTTCTCTGTCTTCAGCATGTGGATCACATCCTCCCTTGCCTGTAACATTGCAAATCACTACCATAAGCCAACCTATTAACCAACAGGGAAAACACGGGCATTTCATATGTACAGACTGCATGCACAATAATAAATCAGAAAATGCCAGGCTGCCAATGCCAATATGAAAACTTTGGGAGATATCACAGTAAACACGTCCTGTGCAATCCCAATGTCATCCTTGTAGGCATAAATTATGCTATTCCTGCCTGCCATTACATTTGAATGCTATGAATTTTTATGTGGGTTGCAACTATAGCCAAGGAACATCATTACTCTTCATAGACTTCATATTATTCACCTCCCATGCTGTCCCCTGACTGGCGTAAGGAGATGAGTAGAAAAAGCAGTGCAAGTGAGCTGAATTAGTATTTCTCAGAGAGCCTCTAATCAAGTATTGCCTAGCTATTCTCTACCTGACTTTGTGACTAGTCTTTTCAAGTAACTTTTAAAATAAGGTTTTCTAACTTGTTTGTTTGAAGAAAACCCTGCAAAGGCTGCAGGCCCTGGCTAACCAGGATAACTGGCAGCAGACCCAAATAGGCTGACCAAACCTTCCCAGAAGCAGGGGAGGGCTGCTGATACTGGAGCAGGTGGCATACCTGAGAGCAGTGGTGCTCCTGTGACTGAGGAGGGTGCAGCTCCCAGTTCCTGCTCCCTGGCCTGGGTGGGACCCCCCAGTTTCAGGCAGCATGAGCAGGCATCTGACCATGATGAGACTGTTCTGCCAGGCCACCTGGCTATGAATAAGGGGCATTTTAGGGCTATGCTGCAGACAAACACTTAATCCTGAGCTCTGTTTCTAATGACACTTGCCAACATCTGTTAAGCCATCTGTAAAATGGGGGCAGGGCACTTGCTTGTCCTTCAAGGCAGGTTTACAAGGCCATCAGCCAGGGAGGGGCTGTAAAAGGTACAAGTTTTCAGTAGGCACAAAAGAGCTCCCAGGTTTCCCTGGAAAGCATCTCTCTCACAAGCTCGAAGGGATGAGGGGCAGAAAAGTACAGACAAGAATTTTTCTCTTGCCTGCCCTTTTGACACTCAACTCGTGCGAGCTTGGGAAGCAAATTAAGATCTAAGGAAGGTTTTAGGAATATTTTAGGAAAAACACCTTACATGCAGTACCTCTATGTAAACAATAACTGTTTAGGATTTATGAACTGACCAATGCTTCATACGCTTCTATAATGTTCATAACAGCACTCTGTATTATCCCTGTAGTAAATCTTAAATCTTTAACCAGTACCACAGAGGCATTGGAGCTCTACAAAATCACCTGCTTTTAAAATGAGCAAGTAAATAATTTCAGCAAATGGCAAATATATATATATATATTAAATAAAATAAAGCAACATGCGAATAAAAAATCTGAACTTGAGACAAAGACCATGCCACCCAAGTGAGAACTAACCCTATTATAAACAGATAGCTGCAGGGGCTTACGCTGTACAACATTTTGTAACCTTAAATAAAAGCTTTGAGCATGTCTGCAAGATGCAAAATACATGCTGGAATGATATTAATGTTGTTTCAACATAAGTGTGGGAAAGGTGCATCACTCACGGATGTCAAAACTACAAGTGAATTATGTGGAATAGTCCCAAAGAGTGCCAAAAGAGCATGTACACCTGACTACATCATGTCCTGAGAATACACCACTCTGGGTACAGAAAAAGTATTATTTTAGGCAAGTTTTAGACAGGTTCAGGAATATATCATTTTTTACATCCCTGTAAAAATAACAGTTAACTTAGTGTCTTTGTTACAATGAGGCTAATGCTTCTATATTGAAGAAAAAGCCCTTAAAAAGCCTAAAAGGATAATATGGAAGTTTGGGGGGAATTTATAAATACCCAGGCTTTATGACACGTCTTAAGTCCTTTTAGGAACAGACAGTTTTGGGGCCATATCTGCACCCTGTCCTAATGAATGAATTTGGTATCCCGCTGTGTACCTCAAAGGAGTACACAAAGGAGCATGTGCAAAGGAGCACCGAAAACAACAGGACAGGGGGGAAGCCCCCTTCTACCTTCTGCACCAAGGGCCGTAACCAAGCCTGCTGAAACCCCGATTTGTTTTGGTCCTGAGCACAGAAAGCTTTTTGCCCCACACACACCCTTCCTTCAGGTACTGGCACACCTTGGACCCTAGGCTATCTGGAAGGGAGGAGGATCGGTTCAGTCTCTCCTGTTGAGGCTGGGCCTGTCAGGCCCCAGATGGCATAATCAGACATTGATGGGGCCAGGCAGAGACAACAGAGACAACTCGGGCTGAGTGATTTAACATTATGGCTCGGGAGAGCAAAGATCTGGACTCTCATCCCTGCAGTGGTTATTTAATACACTAATAGCTGGCAGAGGAACCAAATACTGCTCCTCCCAGCGAGCGCCCCAAGCCCTGTTCAGCTGTGCACTGCCATGCATACTTCCAGTTTCTTAGTCTTTAATCACTGATGATTAAAACATAGCAACTTCAGCA